GCCTTGGCGTGGACTCCCCCCAGTAGTTCCCTGTTGGTCTTGACCTGGGGAGCCCGGAACCGGCACGGCTGCTCTCCAGCCTCCCGCATCCCTCCGCAGCTGATGTGGTAGTTCAGAGTCCCCCGGTCGGACATTACGGCTTTTGTGTTTTCCAGCCCCAAAACAGCCTGCCCGATATAGTGATCTGGATGCTGCAGGGAGACAAGCGTGTAGCGTACGCGCGTGTGCCAGCCCACGAGGTCCTCTTCTCCAGGAACATCTCCAGCTGCTGCGGCAAGAACTGTGGGAAGCTGCAAACCATCTTCCTGAAGGTACCTTGGCTTTTGATGTACGTGCGTGCGGGACGTTCATTTTTAAAACGTTTTCCCCTAAAAAAAAGAGAGAGAAAAAAGGGAAACCTGAAATCCCAACACAACGGGCTGTGTTAACCCACGAGCGCCTGGGGCTCCAGGGACCCTCAACCCCAGTTTCAACCCTGTTGAAGCTGGTTCCTGCACGGTGAGAGCCTGGTCGTAATTCTGGTAGAACCCAGCTCCTCTTTGCACAGATCTGCAGCAGCGACCTGTGAATATTTTCATATTTTCTGCAAGTTCCAGGGCAGTGACGATAGGTGCACTTTGGCCCAGATAGTGCTTTTTAAAAAAAAATTATTTTTTTATTTTTAGTGTTGTTTTATGTTTTTCAAAATTCCTGACCCTCTGCCACCCCAGGAAATTTAAGCTGCGGCCTCCTCTGCCAGGCACTTACTGAGCTTCTTGCATCTCAAATGGTATTTCTTTGGCCTTTCGCTGCGTGCCAGCTTGGGAGCAGACAATCAGTGCTGAACAAGCTCTAAAAAAATAAAGTGAAATAAAATAAACTGAATAAACCCCAAAACCCCAAGCTCAGTTGGCAGCAAAAGACGAACCAAAATATATTGGGTTTTTTTTCTGTACTTCAGCTCTGGATGGAAAACTAGCATCACTTGAAGGGGGAGAAAAGTGACTGAGAGAGAGAAAAAAAGGGCAGTGAGACATCGCCCTGTTTATTCTTTCTGGTTTTGCTGAAGTGTGTTGGCTGGGGCTGGTGTCCTAGCCTCGAAGGGTGCCTCACCGAGATGCAGAATCTCTGACCACAGGGGCTTTGAAGCTCCTCAAGGTCACCCCAAAGGGCTCCGCACGCTGTGGATGGTCTCCCAGCTCCCAGGGATGCTCCGTGTCCCACCTACCCCCCGCAGCCCCGGCCAGGCCTGCGAGGGCTTCGTACCCACCGCGCCCAGCCTCGCGTCCCGAGCATCCCTCATTAATATCGTTAATATATTAACGGCGCTCTGCCTTTGGCAGTACCCCCAGGAGGAGGCGATGGGTCCGAGGATCCCGGCCCAGATCCGGGTCCAGCTCTGGTTCGGGCTGTCGGTCGATGAGAAGGAGTTTAACCAGTACGCCGAGGGGAAGCTCTCCGTCTTTGCCGAAACCGTGAGCATCTGGCAGGGACCACAGCAGCCGCTCTGCCGTGGAGGGGAGGGGGCGGGCTGGACCGCGGGTGAGGTGGGGGTCACATCATC